TATTCTAGAAAAATATCGAATAGTTAAAAATAGTATATAGGAACATAACAATTGTCGAAATATATATTTTATTAAGCAAGACAATAAAAATTGATCATTATAAGTCCCATACCTATAGAAATTATGTCGTAAAATAAGAAAATAATTGCATAGAAAAATGCATACCAAAATACATGGAATTTTTTCTACGCAAATATCTTCTATCCTCGACATTATCGTAATATTTCGATTATATTATTTAGAAGTCATTTGYTAGAAGAATCGATTAGTATATAATACAATTATTTTACGTTAGAAAATATTTTTTAATTACCTTTGAATAACGGGACGCCRTAGTATCCGTGCGATCTCCACCACCGGTGCCGCGAAAAGAAAGTAGGAATATCAGCAAAGAGCCCTGATTGGCTGATCATTATTTCAGAAGTGAGTGACCAATTAGAAATTCCCAATAACCATATACAATAGAAATGCATTTCACGCACACAARCTTGCCTCGTTACACRTACGTAACTCGGCTTTCTTCATGACCACGCTAGTCAAGCCTGATATGATAATTTATTTATAAAATAAATAAAAAATTTATTCTATTTCTCTATTTTAGATGTACACGTTTCTTGTTAATATTTAAAATATAACAAAAAGATTAAAGACAATATGTACTAGAAACCTTATCACACCGCACAGAAAAACACAAATTTATTTATTTATTAATCAAAAATCAATTTTTTTCTTCTATTAGATGTACACGTTTCTTGATAATATTTAAAAAATAAGGAATAAGATAAAGAGAGTATACACTAAAAACCGCAGAGAAAAACACAATCGTATAGAAAAGAAACCTCGTTGCAGATATTTTTAAAACAATTGACATAAAGCACTATAGCCATCCTTAAAGAATTAAAATAAATTGAAACAAAATAATTGACATCTTTCATGCCAACTATTAAAGTATAAATTCCCATATTCTGTATATTATTTTAATTCTTTAAGGATAGTTACAGTACCTTATTTCATTTGTTTTAAAAATATCTGCAACGTGGTTTCTTTTCTATAAGATTGTGTTTTTCTGTGCGATTTGATATAGTTATTAGTGTATGTTGTTTTTATCATCTTCGTTATTTGTTAACATACTTATATTTGTTTTGTTTATATTATACCAACGCAATCTTACTTTTTACTTTTTTTTAAGTTTTTCAAACATTGGGAGAATACAGCATGATTACATATACCTAACCTTATAATTATATTTACATTTTTATCTTCTTCATATTCATATTATTTCAATCTTGATATTTGTCGTGGTTTATCTCTTTTCTTTTGTAACATAAAGAAGAATAATATAAAAAGTATGAGAAAGGAAAACAGAGAGAGAGTGACGTCTTATACACATATCATACATATACATTTCGTTTAATACTTTACTAATACAATCTTACGATTTGCAGATTTGCAAATATTTGAAGATTTGGAAAAGCACAGCATCGATTAGGCTTTCTTATCGTTTTATGTATCAAGTACATACAAAAAGAAGAACTTGGAAAAGAAGAACTATTCTTTTCGATAAAAATTTCCCCCTCCGAAGTCACCACTGCACAGGAACGTTAAAACAAATTTACATTTATTTAAACAATTACATAAAAATTAAAAAAATGTAAAATCTGAACGTTATAATCTTAAATTTTATGGATTAGGTGGATTATTCGTTTTACACACATGCGCAACGTTCGGAAAGTCATATAAACAACTTTCAATAAAAGTAATTTTCTAAAGGACATTGACTCAGTCTAACAGAAGACTTCGAAGAAGACGGTGCTCCTAACATATATACCGATCTTTTTAACAACAATAGACATTTCTACCAATTATTTAACAATTATTTTAATACTCTAATAAACTTTCTTTATATTTCAGATTATTTAAACATATATGTACTAGTATAAGCATTACGTACTTATTAACATACTTTGAATAGAAAATAATTTTAATATATTTTTATTTTATGTTTTGCTTTTTTTAATTAGTTTTCTGTTAAGACTAAAAGTAATGTTCTTTAAAATCGTTCTCGGTTAAATAATCTTAGTTCCTTTAAATTTAATTTGGATGTGGACATCTTCAGGATGCACATCCCTCGTGGGTCTTCTGAAGCGGTTACCTCCTCGTGGTTAGACCCGGGCAATGGTACTTTTCTTTCAGTATAATGTTTAACATATTTTATATGATATACATTCCACTGCAAGTAAAATCCAGCCAAAGATCGCTTACCATAAACATTATAATTGTAATTAGTTTCTTTTAACTTCTCGATTGATATCATATTCCTTTACTTTCTTTTTTCCTTGGTTCCTTTTATCCATTTAATTACTTTATAATGTTTTTTAATAACTTTTATATATTTACAGATACCAGAAGGAGTAGTCGAAAATTGTTTGAAATTTAAAAGAGATTGCATTCGATTCATTCATTGCATTTTTACAATCCTAGAATAACATTTTTTTTTGCAAGTTTCTTTTTTAAATCATAGCTGTAGTAGATAGATAGCAAACTATTTCTTTCTAAAGATCGTTAATAAGATATTACTGTATAAATCATTGATAATGTTGCTTACGAATTCGTAATATATTTTTTTAAATTTTACATATATATTATCAAACTTTAAAATATTAGATATCTTTTATTCTACTTTGAATATTAAATAATTTATATTCATGATTTTATAAAATCTATTGATAGTATTGTTTCGTCATCGCATTAAATACATACTATCGTCCAATGGTGGTCCCAGTGGTAACAAAAATGATGYTGAATAGATATAAAAGGGGACTTGTGAGTTTCTATATTTCTAGTTACTTTTATATACTTCTAGTACACCTAAAGTTGGCATAGAGCCGCAACAGCAGAAAAAAATGAAAAAATGAAAATATTTACATATTGTTTATACATTATGAACGATTAACTTATTTCTTTTCAATACCTTATAGGTTGTTACTTTGGAAATCAACTTTAAATATATCCCCTGCAGGTATATACTAACTTTACTTTCATTTTTTTTCAAGTGTGCTTGCGCCTTGAATTTGTTGTTGCGCATGTGTATAACATATCTCCCACTCATGACGTCGCCATTTCATAATAATTCAAAGTGTAATAATTATTTTCAACTAATTTACTATAAATAAAAAAAATTCTTGACAAGATATTTTGCCCTCTGTGGTAAAATACCGAGATATTATTGGAAAAATCTATATGTTTAAATAAAAAATGAATTCTCATTCCAGACTGAATTTAACAATAAGTTTTTCGTCATGCGAGAAAAGATATTTCATTCTAAAATTATAAGTGGTTAAAATGAATCAATCTGCTTTATTTGTCCACTATTTTATCCAATTGTCGCATCGTTCAGTCTTTTACCATGTAATGATTGGAAATGATCTAGTAACTTTGTAAACTCCTTAAATAATATAATATTCCTATAAAGAACTGAAAATAACAATGCAGTAGTACCAACTTCAGATGTATTAAAATCGCAGTACAATGTGCTTGGCCTATTTCATCTATACAACTGCCGAAATATGAACCTTCGCGTTGTGTAATTGTTGATTATCTGTTTTATTGCCTGACGAATTATTCAAATACCGCATTTTTATAATCGAAACATTTGTAATATTACTTTCACGTTAGTAGAATTTATAAAGCTAAAATAACATTGATATTTTATCTTTCTGGTCGGTAGAAATCTCACCGGAGAGACTCATGTCTTTTTGTTCACTCGGTTTTTAATGTTTTGTATCGAATATAGACATAAGCATGGATGTCCGGAAAGAGGTATGTTCTAATGTACTAATAATTATAATCCATACAATTTTAAATATTATCTATTATGATCTATCTAATATATATCTTCTCACTCTACTATATATTAGAATCTAGGTTAGAATTCAAACATTTTTTGTCTCTATCAAGAATTACTATCATTCGATGACTCAATTTTTGAGATTTACCTATAAAAATTAAGATATTATATGATAATTATATATAATTATTTCAGTAAATGTTTGAAAAACAACATAAATTTATTATATATATATATATATATATATATGTGTGTGTGTGTGTGTGTTGAGTATAAACCTTTATACGGTAGATATATTGATAAATATACCAAAAACGAATGTTTAAAATATTTTTTCAAAAAATATACATTTGATTTATTATTCATAAATATTTATAGTTAAACAACTGTTTTAATATCAAAGATTAAGATTTGTGTGCAGTATGCATGCACACGTGCTACGAACAGTATTGATATATATTTATATTTTTTTTTATTTTTTTTTATTTCCTTTCCAGCTTGACTTTCATTTTTTGGATTTACACGACTTGGGGGATAGTGATAAAAATGAGTTGATGGCAATTTTAAAATCTAATAATGTTACGGATGCATTAAAACTACCATGGGATACCATTGATAATAACCATGAAACAAATACAAATGTAACTGAAATATCGGAATTGCAAAATCATTGGTATCAAAATGGTAATTATAATAATTTAAAGTATTTATAATTTGATAATAATAATTTTCTACTTAGAAATTTATGTTAATAATGTTTATTGATGCTGCAGCAGGAACTGAAGAAGGTTTCTTAAAGTGCAATAACCCAACAAATGTTGCCACTTCTATTATCATGTCAGCAATTCCACAAACACATCCTTATAGTCAGCAGATAATAACAACAATGTGCAACGATTGGCAGCAACCTATGTATAACGTTCCTACCGATGCTCATATGCAATCATTTATACCTGGATTAGCTTATTCACCCGCTATTTTTCCCAATGCGGGTAATGAAATTCGTGATAACTCGTATCTAAGAGATAATGGAAGACGTAGTCGAAGTAGAGGTATAAGAAATAATTTTAGCAGAGGTATCAATCAAACTAATGAAATCCATCCAGGATACATGAGCGAACAAAGTCAATTTCACCAACCAGTATCTGTTATGTACATTTTGTCTGATCATACTTTATCTCCACAACAACATCAAGTTACTGGACAAATTTATTACCCACCTATATATACCTCGCCAACAATCCATCCACATACAAATACACATCCACATGCACATCCTACTTATCCATTGCCCCATCAGTCCTCTAATAATGTTAGATATAGCAGACAATCGCAATCTGTTAATACGCAGCAAAGTCAAGAATTATTAAATACAGCGACCGCTGCTAAAACGCAAGAAAAACGTCCACAAAATTTATATTCATCTGTAAAGCCATCTAATCATCAATTATCAAATGACGAAGACAAGAATTCCTCTCAGACCAATATTGTGACAACAGTTATTGTAAATAACAGTAATAGAGAATCTTGCATTGAGAATGAGAATGAAAGTACTGCCACTAAAAAGAACACAAATAACAACACTAAAGTATCACCAGTTAATGTAAAAATAAAGCATAATATTGTGTCGACTGTTAACGAAGCATGTAATGGTACAGAGAAAAGTGATATACCATGTGTAAATATTAATAGCAGCGTTGAAGTTAAGCAAAATGGTGAGAGTGAGAAAGAATACACAAATGAAACTGTTTCTAGGAATAAGACCAATCTCATAAAAACATTATCATCGTCTACATCAAAGTCTGGTGAAAACGAAGTACAAATTGAAGAAAATAGACCATCCAAAAGCATATCTGATGAGCCTCTTATAAAAGCTTCTAATAATTCTTTAATACCTACAAACGTATCTACTACTGCAAGTTCCTTGCCTTCTATTAAATCGAATATGTCTTTTGCAAATGTTCTCAAGAAAGCTAATTCAGAATTACAAAGTACTCCTTCAACTCACAAACCAATGGCACGTATTAATCCATTACCATCTGCTCCTGTAATCGAACAGACCACATCTCCAAAAACACCATTACAAACAGTTGTACAAAGAGATCAACATATTAGAAGTCCATCACTTGAAACTGAAAGTCTTCCTCCAAATGTGCACAATATATCAAGTGATCGTACAAAAGATCAAGCAGAATTAACGCTAAACAAATATGATGATCCTACAGTTTTTAGAATGGGTGGTAAGTAAACAATAGAAGAATTTTAATATAGTCATTTATAAAAAGATATAAATTCAATTTTTCTTTTTTTCATTACAGAATTTTTATTAAACTATCAAATGGATAAGCAAACTGTAAGCTTACTCCCGCGTGGCTTAACAAATCGTAGCAATTATTGTTACATTAATAGCATATTGCAAGCCTTATTAGCATGTCCGCCATTTTATAATCTTCTTATGGCTCTGCCACATTCCAAAATCAATTGTAAAAACTCATCCACCCCTCTCATAGATAATATGTAAGTATATAACATATATTAGTATTTATTTCCTCTATGATCTCTCTGTTATTTATTTTATATTTTATATTTTGTAGGATAAAATTTGTTAATGAATTTACACCTCTATCAGACAGCGCAAGATTAGCTAGAAAAGATAGAGTACATAAACGAGGAGAAAATTCAATTGTAGATATACAAAGTGGTATGGCATTTGAGCCATCTTATGTATACACTATGTTGAAAAATACTTCATCTGCTGGAGTATTTTCTGTAGAAGGGCGCCAAGAAGATGCAGAAGAATTTCTCTCCTGCCTTTTAAATGGTATTAACGATGAAATGTTAGAGGTATGATTACTAGATTACTACCATTTTCTTATAATATACAGGGCATTTAGAGATCCTTTTCTACTGGATCGCACCATTTTGCGTGAACTGTTTGATGTAAATCTTATGATTTGTGGAAACTGGCTATGGAATCTAATGAGCAGAAAAAATCAATTTATTTTTAAAGTGTTTGTATAGTGCAAAATTTTATACAAAGTTGGAAAATTTGATATATTTTTTTATGATTTTTATGATTGTTTTTTTTTTTTTTTAAATTCTATTAATAACTTGTATCATTCACAAACAGTTATATAGAATTAAATTTTCTTATCATAGAAATTTTTCAGTGAATTCAAATAACTTGAAAATTTTATCTAGTTACGATCGCCATTATACATAAAAGTTAAAACTATTTCTTTGTCTAACATCTAACGTCCAACTCGAGGGAGATAATTGCAATTAACGCTTCTAATGGAAGAATGAAAAGATGCAACTACTATATATCTCTATATATTCATCTATAAATTTTTATTTTACATCGAATATCGTTTGTTCCAGCTTATAAAATTAGTAAACAATGAACCAAACCCAAATTCTAATGCAGAGACTAACATTAATTACAATCATGCGGAAGAAGAATGGAAAGTAAGAACAAATATTTTTTTTTTAATTTTTATTAGAATTGTAAATAATATAATGTATAATTAATATACACATATTGCAGGTAATGGGACCAAAGAACAAAGGGTCCATCACGCGTTGTACCGAATTTGGTCGAACTCCGTTATCTGATATTTTTCGTGGCCAATTAAGATCTAGAGTATCTCGGGTGGGAGAGCAACCAACCGACAATGTGCAACCTTTCTTTACGTTGCAACTTGATATAGAAGTACAATTATTAACTATATATAATTTATTTATAAATTTTACTCATACTATTTATTAACATTATTTACTTATTTATAATTATTAGAAGGCGGAATCTGTGACAAGAGCGCTTGAAATACTGGTTGGAAAAGACCAATTAGAAGGGATGACTTGTAGTAAAACAAAGCAGCAAATAGAAGCTTGGAAACAAGTCACTTTAGAAGAATTACCAGTTATTCTTATATTACATTTAAAATGGTTTGACTACAAACTTAATGGATGCTCAAAGATATTTAAAAAAGTAGAATTTCCCATAGATTTAAAAGTGGATGCCAGTAAGTTTTTCGTCAGTTTCTGTAAAAATGATAGAAACAATTTAATTTTTATATACATATATACATTTATTAATATACGTGTGTATCTTTCAGAATTCTTGTCACCGAACATAGGAAAAAAACTAAATTCCAAGCAAAAACAGTACAAATTATTTGCCGTTACTTACCATGTTGGAAAAGAAACAACAAAAGGCCATTACGTTACGGATGCTTTTCACGTAGGATTCGGCGGCTGGGTTAGATACGATGACAGTTCATTACAAGGTATTTCAGAAAATGATGTTTTAAATCCAGCTCCTCCTAGCGTACCGTATTTACTATATTATAGAAGGTGCGATACTATCGGAAATAATCAATCAAACACAGGTAGAACTCGTTAAAATCTGACTATTCATTTGTGTAGATACAAGTCCTATTATAAAAAAAAAAATAGTGTATCACTTTTTACGATTTCACGATTATTGTTGATATTTATATCTGAGTAAGCAGAACGTTTGTTATAAAGTATGGTAAAATTGAATTAATATTTCCTTTTATCTTACTATACTCTCAACAAATATTTATACTAAACTGTTACTAGTGTTACGCGTAGTTTTCTTGATACATAACTTGTGAAAGTAGCTAAGATAAAACACGTGTTCATACTACTAGCACATTTTATTAGCGTTGGATGCTTATAGTTTATAAAATAAAAACTTAGATATAAATTTATTGTATATATGTTTCTTCTAAGAATAGATGGTATTATGTAAGCGGCCGTGTGTTTACATGAAAAAGTAAATTGTAATGTGAATTTTTATAATCACGTCAAATTTTCTTTTTCTTTTTTTTCGCAAAATGAAATTACCTTTTTAATTGTCTGTTATGAATTAATAATTATTATGCTATATCATTTAGAAATAATTTTCTAATAACGTTTACTTGTTTAAGTAGCATCGAAATCTTGGTTCAGTAAGATTATGATTGAAATATAAAACACACTGTTATACGTATTTAACATTTAATCATTCTGGTCAGCTTTATTAAAAAGAATATTATATAAGTTGTTTTACGTATTACGTATGTGCTTGTTATTGTTCTGTACAAATATTTTCTCTAAGTTAAATCTACTGAATTCCCACTAGAATTTACTGTTCATATTTTGATATTTGTTACTCATGTCTAAGATTTCTTAGAATTTCTTAGAAAGATAAGACTAAAAATTACAATAAGTAAAAAATATGTTTGTTATTAGGCAAGTGTGAACATATTTTCCAATTTTGCCTTAAAATCTTTAGCACAGACTGCCTGTCATAAAAAAAACAAATTAATGTAATAATCATTAAACTCATTAATGTTCATAAATTCACGTATTTTGTTAAAAACAAATGTCTATAAATGTGTCATTTCTCCATACGAAAAAGTCATTTTTGCATATTTGTAAAAAGACCAGCCTGTAATTCAAAAATCATTTTTTTAATGAGCTTTTTCTTGAACAGTAAAGCTATAGTATTTGCATTTTTATATTTTTTTCAACTAAAGAAAAGTATTTTTTTGTGAATTTATATATATCAAAATTAACAATTTAATCATTATTAAAGTAAGGATTATTATGCGGTAGTATTGTACTGACCCCCATTATAAGATATATTTACCATGATATCGTAAACTAATTATGAAAAATTTCTTTCGAATTGGTTATATATCTCTATAATTTATATTTACTGACAATATTTTCAATATTTGCATGAATAAAAGTTTGCAAATTTATATTCGTTAATGATGGTAAACTTATCAACAAACAAATAAACAGAATATATATATATACATATATATATATATATGTATAAGTATATATTTATATATATATCTATGTATATATACACACACTTTTATGAAAACCTGTATAATATTATGTACACTTTTATTTCTTGTAAAAATACAAGAAATTTAAGTATTAAAAATAAGAATATTATAGTTACGAAAAATAGTAAAATTAGAAATAATAATTATAAAATATCATATTTACATACATACATTATCTATAAATTAAAATGTTTATAATGTAGATAAAAAACTGATATAAGTGAAATTTTACAAGTGTATGTAACTTAAACAGTAAAATACAATATATTTCTTTTCATTTAGTATATATTAAATTGTAAATAAATATTTAGAATTTATTAAAAAAAAAAAATATCAATGTACATTGTATATAGATTATCTATAAGCTATCATGTGTATTAAGATACAATATATACAATATAGGAATATTTTACTTCATCGTATATTTCTGTAGCACATGAAAAAATATGTTTATCGAATTGCAACTATTTGAAATGTATCTAAAAGTGGCTCTTGGTTGATCATAATATCAACAAAATTGAACAACAAATTGGAAATTGTTATAAATATACATCCTTCTTATAATTTTGACAATACAATGGACTGATAAGTAGACTATTAATTCTTTAGTGTAACTCGAATATTTTTTAACTTTCTCTCTACGATGCTTACTTTTTTATATATAATATTTCAATTATTTCTGCTTATACTAATCATAAGTAAAGCCAATTAATAGATAGATATAGTAGATTAGAAATATGTCATTTCTTTAAGAAATTTTAGTTTAATTTAATAAAGACTCGCTGAAATATGAAATCTAATCTTATTCAAGATACATAATACTAAATATTAAAAATAAAACAACACGAAAAATAGAACAATTGGAAAATATCACTGAGTAACTTTAAAAATGTGGTAAACATACTTTTCCTGCAAAAAGTTCAGAAATAACTGTGATCCATAGTGCCAGAACGAAAAGGATATAAGAGATTCCTACTTGATGTGAATTTGGTAACTGATATGGTTGTCCTCCAATTTCATCAATGTAAAAACCCATTGGAAATAGAACAGCCGCTAAGCAAAATAGAACCACTGAAATATTGTAGTGTAATATTATTTTACAATGTAATAATATCTATTATATGCACTTTGAAAAGATTTCAAATAAATTATTAGTAAGTATGTTATATATAAAATCATTTTAATTTATTCCATATAGATGAATACTGTTACTATGAGAAGAACAATGTGCAGTATTACTTATTTAAAACTACTTACTTGCTGTAAATCCAACCCATCGAGCATATGGAATTACATTACGATCCCAATGCGAACTGATCAGCAATATTATAGTTGTTGTTATTAAAATACATCCGACTAATATAAAAATAAGGGCTAATAACCATTCAGGCTTTAAATCAGGTGTGTAACAAACTTGTGGTCTGTTATATAATGTCATACAAGACAACATAAGGCCTAATCGTGTATCTCCTATAGTAGTTAATAAAAACAAGTAAATACTATCTATATTTATCAATTAATTTTCCAAATATATACTTTCTACAGATTTATCTTTACATATAAAAAAAAAATAAACATTCAATCTTTGAATTACTATTTTATTTATATATTTACCGCCAACATCAGTTATAATCCAATCAGGCATTCCCAAACTAACAATTGCAAACATATCAGCTGCCAAAAATAGAGCTCCCGAAATAATTGTTAGTTTATCCATTTCACGTTATTAATTTATTTAATTGATCTTTTCCTTAATATGCAATAGCATGTAATATTCAAAATTTTACATATTTAATGAACAAAAATATAATCATTAAATATCTTAGTTTTATAAGTATTCTAATGGATCAAGCACACATATTTTCATCAACTTGACAGTAGCAAACTTTGCTAACCTCAAAATAATATTGAATCAATTATATTACAAAATATGTCTAATAATATGAACAGTTCTGACTTTCTTTGACATTTTACTGTACAAAAAAAATCTGTTATTATTATATACCATTCTTCTTAGTACATTTTTATTATAAAATTAGTATCAAAATACAAAGTTGTTATTATAATGAATCAATATTTTGAATCCTATAAAGTCAATCATTTTAGAATTCTACTTTATCGATGAAGCTTTGTATAAACCATCTATTGCCATCTACTGCCATTTATTGACATCAGCTGTTTGTTAGGTATTACCTGTTGCTGTTATTTATGATCGATCTAGATTTATCTAGATCACTAGTGTTTTTAAATTGATCATTTGATTCCATTTCTAAATCACTGAAGCATTGATTAATTCATATATATATATCAATATTTTACAATTGCGTAGTATTTATAACAAAAATATATTTGACCGAATAATTCTATTTAAGAATGTTGTATATATTTCATCAACATGTTAACAGCCTAACCACGTTGAAATACTAATTTCCGTCAGATCGCTAAAGTTAAACAATAATGGGTAACGTAAATAGATCGGTGACCCGCTCGAAAAAAAAAATCGTGTACTGTTAGCTCCAGAGAGAGTTGGTAAAAGACGCGACCTCTTTGGAAATGTAGGATAGGTGTTAGATGTTCGGAGGAAAGTGACTCCAAAACCCATAAAAGGGAGAGTAATAAAGACAATATTTCATGTAGGTGAAATCTTTACAAAAATAAATAAAATAACAAGGGTTTATTATAAAGGTGTTTAATATGTAAACAAGAATTTGAAAAAGAAGTAATGAATTTTGATATTGAAGAAAGCTGAGCTTCATGTGGCGGAAAAAAATTTAATAGCGAAAATACGATACAATACTGATGGGTTCAACAAATTCTTTATTCTCTTCTAATAACGTCCTCGATTTAATGCAATAAACTTTCGTGCTATAACCGATTTCATGGACGCATGAAAAATTTGTTTGAGAAAGTGAAATCTTTTGAGGGATGAATGAAACTGTAATGAAAAGGTATTACTACTTTTTCGTTCGAATATCATGTTGCGTGTTAGTTATGCAACATATCTCTATGATAAATCCGCATAAAACCAAGTTTTCATGGATTTTTGAAAGATTTAAAAGAAAGTCGAGGAGTGAGCGGAAAAAATAGAATTCGCCCGAGTCAGTTAAACAGAAAATTACTAATTGTAATGTTAATATTTTCGTAAATTGTAAAATTGGATCTTAATACCGCCAATTTCTAGACATTTTATGAATAAAGAAAAGCTGAAGTAGTACATGCGACATAGAAATTTAATTAAATGAGTATACATCTATATATATATATATGTAGCTAGCTTTTCCAGATGTCGAACGACTACAATAGGGTCGTAGAATTTTACGAACTATCGCGAGTGTATATTTCGGGAAAAAAATTGGTAAAACCGGTTACACCCGCTCGACCGAGTGCTCGAACATATGCGGAGGACTTCCACACTCATACACGAATGCATACGACACGCAGTACACACGCCAGTACCGTGTGTTCGTTTCTAGCCACATACAAGCGCGAGCATAGCTATATTGACGATGTACATACATATGTATATACAGTCGAATGCAGGGTTGCCGGTTTAAGATTTTCTTTCAAATTTTTCTATTATAGAAAGAAAGTTTATAGTCTCCAATAAAAATCTCGTGCTACGATTAATTAAGTCGTAATTATTGTAACGATTCAAAAATATAACGATAAAGAAGATATTCTTCATGACCAATTGTTATTTTTAGTTAATGAATCTAAGCAATTGACAAAGTATAATGACCACTATGTAAGAAATATTGTTTAAATTACGGGACACACACACACCTCGTGAAAGAAGGAAAATGTCATCGACGCAGTTCATACCGTTACGAAAGTAAACAGGACCGAATGTCTCCTCGTATCTTGCTCCGGTTTTCAGTATTAGCGCGCATCCCCTTTCGCGCCGAATAAGAAATCGAACGTTCACCAAATACAAGGATTATTTGTTTAAATGGTGCATTGTGAAATTGTACTTAATTACAGTATTTTAAAATCTTTTAAACATAACACAAAAATGCGATAGATATTACTTTCAAAGACGAAAAGAATATTAATAAATACATTATAGTTATAACATTGATCAAAGCCATCGGAGTTGGGAAAAGAAAATCATTCGTACGTACCTGAGCACGTCGCAGAGCCGGCGAAGAGGCGGTTTGCCGCTCAGTCGAGCCGCAACCACGGAGCGGAGATTTTGTGTGGTGTTTTGCTATTTCGTGGTTTTTATGAGAAAAGAATCAGGGCAGTTTCACTTTGTAAAACGCGACTTACCGCAAGAAAAACATACAACGATGTTTTTGATTTGACGTTCTGCGTAAAAATAAAAAAGTGACAGAGAAAGGGAGAGAGGGAGAGGGAGAGAGAGAGAGATAGAGAGAAAGGAAAAAAGAAAAGGGTGAAAAAGAGAAAAACGAATATAAAAAGAAGGTCCGGGAAACTCATTCATGTGGAATAGTACCTCTCACTTATGCACGTCCGGCCATTTGTTTAATAAACCCAATGAGTGAAAAGTGCGACGATCGTAAACAAAAGCTTCGGTAAAGGGTACGGTAAAAGGCACAAAAGGTGGCAATACTTGTGACATATATACATACATATACAAATAGATACGTGTACACACCGGCTTGGAGTAAAGAGGAAGGAAAAGGCAAGTCGATCGACAGCGAGTGAGCGAAAAGAAAGTAGAAGGAGCTAAGAGGCTGTAACACGTTTTGATCGACGCTGGACGATCGACCAGATCTGGATCTGGCGCGTTTTGCCGGTGCACCACGCCGCGGGCCTCGTTTCTCTCTCTTTCTCTCTCTCTCTCTCTCTCTCTCTCTCTCTCTCTCTCTTTTTCTCTCTCTCTCTCTCTCTCTTTTTCTCTCTCTCTCTCTCTCTCTTTTTCTCTCTCTCCCTTTCTCTCTGCAAGTAACAGTACTTCCTCGCGCTCCATGGAGTAAGCCTCTCTCCGAAGAACGGGACCTAACGCTGCTGTGTCCGCTCACCATACTCTCGTCGCGCCTCCCTCTTGTCCTCCCCCTTGTCCTCCCTCTTGTCCTCCCTCACAGTTCCGTCTCGCCTCCCTCTCGATTTCCCCGTACCTCCCTCGCGGCCGCCTCGCGCGGTTGCAACGCAGCAGTCCGGCTGGTCGGGTCGAGAGGTTTCACGTAAAACCAGTCCTCTACCCTTTCCCTTCCTTCCTTTCCTTCGAACGGATCGCGAATTACTCCCTCCTTTACCGACACAAGCCTTCCGTCAACTGGCATCTGCTGACTGACTCTTCGAACTTCGTCTTCCTTTTGATTGTCTTACAAACCCCTTTCATATTTCTTATTGATCCTTTTCTGTTCCAAACTAAACACAGGGATGTCCATGTTTCCATGCGACCTTGGATGTTGCATGCATTATCAAAACGATCCTTCCAATTCGTAAATAAAAAAACAACATTGTTTATTTCGCAAGTATCATAGAAGGGAAAGAAGAGTAGAGTCTAAAGACATTTATAAAAAGAAAATTGTTTTTGATCATTGAAGTTTACTCGATTGAGAAAAGAAAGTAATCTCCCTTCTCAGGGTCATCGTCATGGATTTAACACGACTTTGTCACGTGGTTCATCACATTTTGAAACGAGAGTGAAAAAGTCGAGTACAAAGAAAGGGTGAGAGAAAGGAAGAGATAGAAGAAAAGGTAGGAAGAAAAAGAAAAGCTCCTTCTTTTCTTAGCGACAAAGAGAGAGAGAGAGAGAGAGAGAGAGATAGAGTCGCTTGAGACGAAACAGCGCGCGTAAAATGAACGAGAGACGTCCTGTATGACGTTTAAAGTCGTTGTAACAACGAGAACGGCACGGGTAGAGTGTAAAAAGAAGCCTGCTCGTCTATTAGCCGAGCGAAGAAGGCGTAAGCGAGTCGCAAAGTAGAGAAAGGAGGGAAGTTTACGCGGCCACTTTGAGTCCCTCTCTCGCCATAACTAACTTCCTCCTCGAGTGGCTCATGAAGCTTTCTCATTGTCAGTCGGGGCTCGCGCAAACTTTGGAAGAAACGTTCGCGCATTTTCCCACTTTTCAAATGACCGCAAGAAGAAAAATGGATTGATACGTCGATCAATGCTAATTACGTTTTTTTCGACGGATATTATAATAATACACACAAAAGTTTTTACTAAGTTTTTATTTTTTCGACGATCGAAAAATAAAATAATCGATACGATACTTGTGTGATTCATTGGAATATACATCGAACAACTTCTTGTGGTAATACGCGCATGCTTCAAATCGGCATTTGTTTGTTTTCAATCGTTTATTCGAAAATTGTTAACGCGTCTAACTTACGATCTAGCCGTTAAAGCGAGGAAAGTGATACACAGTTCGTCGTGAGTGCTCCGAGTGAAAGAGACGCTTTCCGCCTTTCTTTTTCTGTGTTTCGAAAAGATCGATCAGTGGCGGCGAATCGTCGAAGAGAAGGAGAACCGCCCTCCCTTTCAAACACGATCTTGTATTTACGAGAGAAGAAGACCGAACCAAGAGCCATGAAGACCATACGAGCAAGTGCTTTGAGGTAAAAATGCCTTTCTCTAACATAATTGTTTTTATATCAAATAAAGATAAGCGGATAAGTGGAATTTGGATAAGTTGAGAACCGTTGCTATTGGAGGAAATGACTTTGTTTGACATCGACATTGTCTGGAACAGGATGCAAAACAGATCGAGAAATTGCGAACCGTGAAAGCAAACATACGATGTATTTGGATCTTTTGGAGAGTTGAGAATCGATAGGGTCTAAATTAAAGAGGTCTCGGACATGATAGAAGCTTTTTTTCCCTTTACTCTTCTCCCATTTGTCGCGTTCGGAGCAAATAGTATTTATTTACTTACCGTAACGTGTTTAGAAACCCTAAGAAGACCAGAATGCGCGCGAATAAAACAAGACGTCCAGTGTCAAGTAGAATCCGAAGGATTTCGCATTTCTTTTGCTAGACGAGACAAACATAATGAAAAAAATGAGAAGGGTATATTCTTCTAAGTATCATTGATAAATTAAATTAATACGATCTTTTTGTAAGAGTTGCATTAGTTTATTCACTATATTGATATTTACCCCCTCACAGAGATTTGATTCGTTTTTCTCGTTTGTCGCAATAACAATCGATATTTATGCGAAAACTATAAATACCGACTCTGGAATGGCCGTTCATTATGCTAATATTGTGCTCCCCTTGCTTGAACTGTTGCCGTTGTCGTTATCGTTGACGACATTGGCGACGACAAAACTTAATTAAGATCGAAAACCCGACGATGGTCGACTGATCCAATTTTCTTGAAATTCTATTAAACGATAAAGTCCTCTTATTGTTTGATTTGATCAACGATCTGTAATACAGCATTATTTTTCGTCTAACGGTGCTCGCCATTATATTCTACTACGATGCAAAAAAAAAAAATCATGCACGACTTATCGACCCTTTTAAAAAGTATGGTTAGCTCGCGAGCAACTGTAATAACGTACGATTGGTGCGCAAAGGGATAAGATTAGGTCGATGTCGGTCCCGCATGTATATATGTTTGTCCATAGTCCATTGTCCCCTTTCCCCATTCGAAAATGAAAACCTACCGAATAGAAGGGAGTGCTGCGTACATTGGGGAACAGTACTATACCTAATGTTGCGCATATCCGCATGCAGAACACTTGCAGGACAAATTGAAATGCTAATTCGTTGGACCTTCCTTTTTCTTGATCCTCACATTCGCCCTTACATTTCTCTACCTTCTTTTTTAAGTCTTCGCTAAATTTTTTAAGCTAAAGCATCGTTAATGTTAACAAATCCAGACTTGAAATATTATGTACGATATTGGGTTCCATCAAAAAAAATACAGAGCAAGAGAGATTATCTTTTAGAAACGTTTAATGACTGCGCGCGTTACGGTTTGCGACTTTGCATACGAAAGAGGGTCGTTATCCAAGGCTCCTTGAAAGTGTGCCTCCGCTAATAAAGGGAATAGAAAGTTTAAAAAAAACTAAGGACTTGAATAAAAATAACATATTAAAAGTAGATGTAAGAAAAACACAAATGGAAAGGAACCAAGCCGATGTACATTCGAACAAAACATCTTAATAATAATAATAATAATACGATGAATTAAATTAAAACGCGTAAAAATAAAGAATAAATGATTAATAATATAACTCCACGACATTGTTCTTAAGTATGAATAATTATTTCTCTTCAATATAAACAAGAGATTTTCTTTAATATAAAAGTGAAAGAAGAGCCGAGAAAGTAGGAGAATAAGAATCTTCTAAGAAAATCGTAGACTTTCTTAGTCTTTTGGTTAAAGCAAACTATCAAGCATATCATTTTATTAATCATTTTATTTTCTATGATATCGAGTCAAAAGAACCGACCTCTTTCACGCAATTATGCGTTTCCCACGTAAGGCGGAGGAAATTGCGGAATAGAGTTTTCTCTGTGCCAGCAGTACTACTTTTTTCTCTCTCCCTCTCTCTATTTTTCTATCTTTCTCTCTTTCTCTTTCTCTTTCTCTTTCTCACTCTCTTTTATGGCGCCTTTCTATCTACTATTTTTCCACTAACGAAGCGACCGAAACGCTCAATTAAGCGGTCGGTCTTAATTAACGCGCGGATCAGTCGCTCATTGTGGAATCTGCTTTCCTGCTATCTTAAAACTTACGAAAGACCTGGGAAAAACGAATTTTTTATTTTTATTATCCGCGAGAGAATCTTGAAAAACTATACGATAAGAAGAATATCACCTTTGACGTTGTCATAATTTCGACATTTCACATAATTTTGTCAAATGAGGTGATACATTGAGATGTGAATTATCAAAAAAGCTTAACGACGACGATCTACAGTTACAACGTTCAACGCTGGAAACTTAATTAGACCGTATCGAATGCACAACCGTTCAGGCAACAAGTTCCAAACTTGTTCTTTGCTTACCAGTGTCGTTTACATACGTTACAACGAGAAAGATCATGTGCGCACCTAGTCAAAACCTCCTTCGTCATATTTGCATTTCATTCTCAAATTAAAATCTATTAATGCAAAATTATTCTCACTGTGTTGAAATATACAGTAACAGAGTACGTGATGCCGTAATCTTTCCGAAAGGAAAGAAGGACTACAATACTATTTTAATCCTTAAAACTAGTAAAACAAATGAGTAAAGTTATGTATAGCATTAAAAGTAAGTTAGTTGATCAGTTTTTAAAATAATTTCAAGCATTTTAATATTATCAAATAATTTTATTATCGTTTAAATGAAATATTAATAAACTATTCACAGATTAATCTCTAACTTTTTCTTCGAAATTAGGATGTTTTAATACAAGACTCCCTAAGTTGTTTCTAATATGAAATACTTGTAAAATATGCTTTAGCTGGCAAAGAAGATAGTTCTGAATCGAAATTCAATAACAATGCAGAATATGTATTCCTTGTGTTGATGAATAGTGAGTTTGATGTATTAAGTAGTGTAGACGAGCTCATGAATATTGCGGGGCTACTTTATATACCGAAATTAGCATACGAAAGTGAACAAATATTAAATGACTTTAATTTTAAATAATAATTTCAACATTTAATCTTAATTTTAGGACCGGGTCTAATGTAAGGAGCAATTTTTTAAAATATATTTCGCACTCTTTTATATTTCTTTTATTTTTATAATAAATTACAGCATCTTTTTCTTCTTCTTCGTCCTCTTTTTATTAGGACTTTTTGTCCTGTTATAAAAGCTTTTTTTTATTGCTATTTCTAGGAGCGATTTATCGTTTTTACCGAAGGTAGATTGCTAGTCTAACTTCTCATATTTGCTGTTGTTATCTTACGTAAATATAGTTTGAAATTGGTACAATATTTTCAAAGGTGCGAAAGAATTTTTCATTTGTTCTTTTTAATGTCGACAATTCGAGGTTCGTACTCTACGTGATTTTCTTATTAACGGCTTCTCTTACAAAGGTGAGAGTGACTCATTGACCGTCGTTTGCGATTGGGGCATGGCCGTAAACATAATCGTACGTATGTATCAGTGTATTTAGTCCTCACGTGAACAATTTTATCGCATAGCGTATATATATATATATGTATAAACATATACATATACGTACTACTTACTTCCTTATTCTCTTATCTTGTTTTAATACCGCTCATGGAAACAATAAATATCGCAAAGGATGATAAGTAATTCGAAGCTCGTTTTTATAATTGTGCCAATAGAATGATCATTTAAAAAAGTACTTTTTTCGTTTGATATAGAAAAATGATTGGAAGGATGATAAATAAAAATATCAACAAAGTAATTTATTTTAAAAACAGAACAAAAATCGTAGCCTCATTAACAATCTAAAAGAAAAAGAGAGAGAGAAAAAAAAAAGGAAAAAATAAAAAAGCCAATACAACGTATTTCTCGGAGATTAGCTCGAGTCTCTTTTTGTTAAGAGAGGTAGAAACCTTCTAGATGAGACGAAGGTCGGGGAAGGAAAGAGAGAGGAAGAGGAAGAGGCGGGTGGTATGGCTTTAGACAGGTGAAATGTCGGTGGGTGCATCGATCGATCGTACTCTAAAGCAGAGCCGAGAGTGGCTACCAACCGCGCTACCGTAGTTTTCAGGTTTCGTTTAGCGAACAATGCTTTGTTCTAACGGCTCCTTCAAAACCATTGTACTTTACGTATAGACAAAAATGAAAAGAAAAACAACGCTTTAAATCGATAAATGCCATTCTAAAGTAAACGATACATATTTTCATTTGCATACACGCGAATCCTACGAATCCAATGAATATATTCTGTTCATATAATTTCCTAGTAATGTTAATAATTAAAAAAAAAAAGAAAAAATGATCATTCATTTCGATTCGGTGTGGCGGGGGGGGGGGGATTCGATATTCGAAAAATATCTAATCAAAAATTCGATCATATGCAAATTGCGTGCAACAACTTTTACATCTCACGATTTCACGGACAAAGGATAACGTTGTTACGTCGAATGAGTTTGTGAATTTAATCTGGGTCGAGCGTACTACCGGTGCTACCTCCGATACCCCCTCCCCCTCTCTCTCTCCTTCCATTGGATGCTCTCTCTCTCTCTCTTACTTTACGCCACGTTCTTAATTGTAACTTGGATATCATGCCCGGGAATATTTATTTTTGGAAGAATTCCTTTTGAAATCGATTATATCTTGATGAAAATAAAAGAGAAAGTAATAGGTCGAAAAAAAAAACACTGGAGAAAGGATCCTTTTAAAGGCAGACATCGTGTATCCTTTTTTCCTATCCTTATCGCGAAAAAGATTTTTTTCCGAATAGAGAGGGAATGCATCTACAATTTAAGTCCATGGATTACTTCCACATGTATACGTATATTTACATGTATGTGCCCTGTTGTAACTTTTGTCACTACCATTACTTTTTTTTCTTCCTCTATTCTATTGTTATCCTTTTTTCCTCTGCTCATCCGCGTACTCTCGTATTTCGTCACCGATTTATGTTTATTCGTCACACACGTTATTACAATCTTATGGAATCACGATCTCCTTG